ATGTATATNTTTAATGTCAGGATTCAATTTTCTTTATTCACTTCTTTTCATTTCAATTCCATTTCTTCCACTTTGTTTTCTTAGTATCTGACCATATATTGACCAGGTTCCTTTTCTTTTTTCAGTTGGGAATGTCCAGTTTGGTGTTTTTGAATACAATCTATCTTTGTTTTGTTTTGTTTTTTCCACAATTTTCAATCAATGCTGCTCTTATGTAGTGATTCCCCAAGTTTTTATCTACTTTTCATTTGTCATATCATAAATTGGTATGCCAGCCAAAATCTTTCAATGTTAAAGTCCATTGGTCTTTCATCACAAGTTCATCATCTGAACATTAAAAATAATGATGTAATTAGATCCTCCACATTTTCAGTGAATCCATCACAGTATTCTATTTACTGTTTTTTATGAAAGAATAGTATAAATATACGTACACGGATACGGTATTGGATAAAACTGAATTAAGTATATTAGTCCAACCCTCGAAAACCATTCTAATATTTTATGTGATCTCCTGGAAAAATTAATTGCCCACCCCTGATATAGATATTCGCATTTGCACTTTTTTTTTTTCAAAAAGGCAATGTCCGGAACGAAGGAAATGATAGATGAAAGTTCGTATTGCTCTATGCCGGACTTTGTGCTTTGTTCTGTTATTCCTTCTTCTATTCCCATGTCTCTTCAGATGTTTGCCGCATTCAGAACAGAATTAAACCAGAGCCGGAGCATACGATCGGTCATACGGGATTGCCTGATGAACTGCTGCACTCATTTTAAAAACCAAAAACCACTGTTGTTTTTTTTTCTCTCAGCAATAACAACGCCCAACACATCAACAACAGAAAGTTCATTTCTTCATCTGTGATATTCGAAACGGCTGCAGAACGTACTCACACAGCTCCTTCTAACCTTCATTCATCATCTCCACATTCCTCGGTAATTACCCATTTCTACCATTGGAATTGCAAGTTGCGTACTTTTCTTCTTATACTGATACTCTCCAATTATTTACCATTTTTTTCTTGCGATACTTATAATATTATCAGTTTTTATTGTTACAAAGTAATCTTAATTTTCTCACCATACCTTAATTACTATCATATCTTAATCATGGTTAGAACAAGTCGGAGTATTGTCACACTGATCAACTACTTTATCACCTTGCTCTTAAAAATAAAACACTCACCTGTCACCTTTTATAGCATGATTAGTATTTTAAGCTAATTAAACATTCCCGTAAAAACTTGTTCAATACGGTGTAATTGATTAGACATTCAGTTTTTTTCCTTTTCAAATCGCCATTATTCTGTTATTTATTGTTATGTTATCGCAAAGAGAGAGAAAAAAATTGTTGCGCAAAATATTTTTTTTTATTTAGCGATCAATGATCACTTACAAAATGCTTTATGCAAATGAAAATTTTTATTTAGCCCAAATGCGACTGAATGCTTTCTGTAACTTTAACTTCCAGTGATTACATATACTCCTTAAAAATAACTTCGTCGACTCACTTATGGACTTTAAATTTTTGAATTTTTGGTAGTTCAAAAATTTTTAGGGGCCAATCAGTATTTGTCGTCCCTTCTACTCATCATTCTCTCTCATCCCTTATTCGAAACTTTTACTTATTAAATACTGTGAATTTTTTCCCAAAAAAAAAGAATGATTGAATGAGTTGGGTGATAAGAGAACTTTTCGACCGGTCGATCTTTAACAGCTGTAGTTTTCGCAGGTCAAATGTTTTGGATCATTTTGCAGCAATACACAGATGACAAATCACATGCTGCATTAAAAAAAAAAAATATGCAAAAGAGCAAATGAACAAGTTCTGACTAAGGAAAAACAAAAGATTTTATTGAAATAGAAAATAAAGATGACATTTTGAGCGAAATATTAGGAAGGGAAGAGATGCCACAACTGGGATTCGGTTAGCATAACTTCCAACAGTTAAATTGAAATTTGTAATTGCATCTCGAGATAACAGGAGAGTGAGACAATCGCAAGCGTTTTGAAGCCAAATTACTTTGCATTTTTGGTGATAGTTCGTGTTGTTTTAAGTGATACGCAACAGGTAATGCTTACGACAATCTGTTCACAGCATCCCCATTTGTGCTGATAGATTCTTCATCTTCAGTCATTGTTTTCAGTTACTGAAGACATCTATACTTTCCTTTTTTTTCTTACGAAAAATCAAATACTTCGAGGAATTCCAAGGCGGTGAAAATTAAGACTAAAGCTTAATTCAGAAAAGTGTTTTTTTCGTCGGAATGTATCAAAGAGATAGAAAAGGGAATATAATTTAATGCTTAGTTCAAACAATAAAGCAAAATGGAGCAGTTAATTTTGATCTTTCATCCGTGATAACTAATCATCCAATCCATTATCAAACTCAGAGCAGGCAGCCAAAGGGTTAAATATAGGTTGATATGAGTTCTCCATCTTTCAACTTTACTCCACTTTTCTTACTCGGAAATACCAATGGTATTGTTACAATCACGGGTAATAAAAAGGAAAAAAAGGACTATCTTGTGAATAAATTAAGCAATTCACATATGGCAAACGTTGAACGAGAATGAATTCTAACAAATAATACGTAAACTGATAAGCTCTTATGATAATTATTCTTTAGGAGATATACATTAGAAACATTTGGATCAGTAGAGTTAACCATTTTTGATTAAACATGTACTGTAAATAAGAACACATGCTAATTATGATGGATCACTGACCAACAACAACAAAGATGTATACCAAACGATCCCCTTTCATCTAATTTCTGATTACTATAATTATTGATATAAGCTATCTGACTCTCATTTTTGCAGAACGCTTACTGTACTTTGAAGCTCAAGGACGACAATTACTTCGAAACTATTTTGAAAATAAAAAAAAAATCAAAGAAAATTTCAATTTTCTTTTCGAAAGTGTTCGATTCTGATCTGCGGAATGAAAATAAGTTAGAGAGTGGGACATAAATAGACCTTTACAGCGGATAGATGTGACATAACTACAGTAATTTATTTTCTGATCCTATTTGAAAATTGATTACTCCTATATTTTGCTCTTATTATTAACAAAAATATGCCCATAAGTTGTTTACAATGATAAATCAGAAATGTCGAAAATGATAAATTCTTTTTTGACTTATGCTAAGCTACGTCATCTAAATTTTCTTTCCACAAGAAAGCTTCGGGGAACGTAATAGGCGTACCGACAAATCACTGACTAGATGGTGAAGGTAAAAGAAAACTTTCCAAACTTATCAGCAATGATCTAAGTTGTTAAAAGATGAAACACTGGAGCGAGAAGAAATGAACATCATGCAGTATGCAGTACATGATGTATGCATGCTACCTTGCAGAATCTGCAACAATCAAAAGATATTTGGTATGTGACAGAAAACTAATTAAGGGAAGTTAAAAATGTGACTAATGCAAGGATACGAGATATGAAGTTGGTATGGAGTGTGAACAGAGAAAGTGTCAATCGTATCGTAATAATACTAATTGAAAAGGAGGAGTTATGAATATAGGTAGATAATCAGAAGCCATTTACAACAAACATAACCAGACCTTAAAACTGCTGCAACCCATTGTTCCTAATATCATTTATACTTGGTGCAGTCAGTTCCCATATACGGCTATCGCGACATCCTGTCTCCTTCTTTTGTTCCCCCGCTAGAATCGATGACTTCAGTATTTCAACGAATTTGCACAGCTGCACTTTCAGTTATTTACAATGGTAAAGGACCTTCTCGTAGTGGATATGTGTGTGAATGTGTGTATGTTTGTATATGTGTCTGATAGTGTATGTATGTATGTATGTGTATGCGTATGTATGTGTATGTGTATATGTGTGTGATGTGTGTATGTGTGTGTATGTGTGTGTGTGTCTGTGTATGTGCATGTGTGTGTATGTGTGTGTGTCTGTGTATGCGCATGTGTGTGTGTGTGTGTGTGTGTGTGTGTGTGTGTGTGGGTGTATGGGTACGCGTACTCAGTGTTGTGTACTTTATGAAATTGCAGCATTCCAAAAAACGCGAAATATTTACTCATCCGGTGCTAGACCATCCCGTCGGTCCTTCCATCCTACCGTATGGACTGCTGCTACTCTCGTCAGGCGGAATATTTTTGCAACAACAGCGCGAAAGAAATTGCTTTCATTTTTCATTTTCTTCTCCATGCAATTCACTTATTTCTTGCATTTTCAATCGAGGAATTAATAAATGAGGAAAGATTTGGTGAAATTTTCCGGATTTAAAAAATTCCATCAAAATTTGGTATGAAATGATGTCAATCAGTACATTTGACATTTACGAAGGAAAAAAACATGCTGGGCGTAAATGTCGCACCGATAGCATCGGATTCTTTTTTATTATTGGATGTATATTTCTGCATTTCTTTTTTCTTTTTTTTGATCCCAATATATAATCGAGTTCTCCTGTTAGATTAATTTAGCTGTTCCATCAATTTACAAACATGAAAAGAAGTAGTAGCATTGCTACTTTCCCACTTTTCAATCTCAATGTAACATAATTCCATGGAGAAGGAATATTGCCTAATGCCAGAGAAAGATGCACGATTCAGAGCGGTTTCTAATCTAACTTTATTTATCATGGTTAGATTAGAAACCTGTAACAAACCGTCCCACAGACTAAAAAACTGCCTTATAGTCATATAATGTCGAGAATTTAGTAATAAACTTCCAAATGCAACTGTGGGAAATTTTTATTTTTTGCATCTTGCAGTTTAGCACTTGTAATGGAATGCCACGGATGTTTTATTATGTATTGATTTATTCGCTTTTACGAAAAGAACGAAGCTACGGAACACCTTTCCGACTTTTTTAGAGGAGGAATTCCTCTTGAAGAAAGAAACACCTGTTTTAATCATGATAATATCAATTATCTGTAACTGCTGCAATAACGACTGTTATCACTATGCTTATCATATATTTGACACCATTGTTTCCCACATTTTAAATCATTACAATCTCAGTCTACCTCACTCATATTCACGAGGATTACTTTGTATTCAATCGATTCTGATCCTGTTTCTTTAAGAGTTTCTCCTTCCCTTCCACTTCCAAATATTGCTTCCCATTGATAGGACAATAAAATCCCTCCATCTTATTTGATGTAATTTTAAAAATTTAAACTGAAATCGAAAGGTGAAAAGAGACTGTGTAAGAAGAATTGGAATTGAATTATCTCATTGCAGTCCATGAAGTGCAAAATAATAAGAGCAAATTTTCAATCATTATAGAGCAATGACAAATAGTGAGAGAACGGAGATGGCAGAGAAATGGAATTTGTTTAAAGTTAAATCAAATATACGATTAGAAGTTCAAGAGAGCACAAAAAAAGAAGCAGGGCACGAAATGTCATTCTTGTTCTTTATTTCGTTCTTGCGCCTTCCAATGATCGTTTAATCCTGCAAACATTGACCGTTCGAAAGTTCCCAAAATGTTGAATATGTCGATAAATAGACATTTTACTTTGCCTTTCATTCCTCAGTATTACTATATTGCTATAAATCGGCCATTGCAAGTATACATCTGGGACAGTCCTCCCTCTATATAACAACAATATCGGAATTTTGGCGACTTTCGTCTATCAGTGTAACAACAATGTCGGGATGACTGATCAAAAAAAAAGTAAAGTAATTGTGGGGTACGATAATATTCATAATATGCACTTTTGTTTATCCATAAATAAACCTTTGTTTCCTGGTAAAATGAACTCTTTTTGAATATCACCAAGGGAATGGAAAAGAAAGTTGGCTTACATAAAATAAGACAGAACTTGTAGAAAATTCCCAGCTTACCACATTTCCTTCTTTCAAGGGTCATTAATTTACTCACTGACCCGTCCTTCTTCACCAAAAAGTTCACCACTAAATTCCAGAAATTTATGGAAAACTTTCCAATGTCCTAAACAGTTGAAAATAAGTCTCAAATAGATTAAAATTAGTAGGCAATGTTGTCCTCTCAATACTAAAACTGTGTGCGCTATTTATACATCTGCCCTTGTTATCCCCAAGTTGATAAATAGCTAGCACATGGTTCAGTTAATACCATTTAAACATGAATTCATTCATTTGCAAAGCATAACTTAGTATTCAATAAGAACATATCAGTATCGTCTGTAAAAAGGTCCCATTCACAAAAAGTAACTAATTAGTGATAGTCAAAATCACTAACTTCTTTCTAACTTTTTAAAAACGATGAACTGATTCTGGACTCTGGATTATTGATGAACAGACTGAGATGATTATTTATGGTGAAGTAATTTGCATATCGGTTCGAGTATATTCCTGATTCTTACATTTATCCCTTGAATGATGTTGCGAAACGAAATTTCATTTCTGTTTTCGGTATTTTTATTTGACTTCCTTCGTTTAGTCACCTCTTTTGAATTAAGTTCAAACCAGTGATCTTTGATTATCTGTTGAAATATTTCCCGATTGATTGAATAAAAATGATTCACACATAATGCGATCGGTATGGAAGAAATATGGTATTGGAAAATAGGAAAAAAAAGGAAAAGGAAAAATGTTGCGGCATCCAAAAACTATTAATTTTTATGGGGAGGAGACATTTCGTTGAATACACTCTTTTCTGTTCAATTACGATTCAGTACTATGAGCACCATCCTGCTTCTATCATGTATAAATCGGTGTCAGTCGAATCTTCTGAAGCTGTATGCAAAATACGTCATTACTATGAGTCAGATGCGCATGTGGAACATTCTGTAATTTGCTCGTTAAAATTGTTCGGCAAGATCAATTTCATCATCAATTTGACGTTGACTTAATCGTTCCTTCAAAACAATACTTGAGATGAATTTTGATCTTACAAAAATTCACTTGCGCTTGCCTATTCACAGTTTCGGCATCAGTCTTAACTGTATCTTAAAAAAAATGAACGAATTCTCTGGAGAATGTTGAGTCATTCAATGCACTATACAGTCATATGACATATACCTGGCACTGCATTTATAATTTCCATCAGTCGGGGGAGCAGTTCAGTCAGTCTTCATCACTTCGTCATCAATTCCTCTTTCAAAAAATTCTAATTTTTCATTTCTGCCTTGTAAGTAGCACTTATAAATTATTTGTTGCATGTTTCTTCGCCTTCTTACATTTATTTATTTATTTGTTCTTCTCTTGTCCATTTGTAATTTTCACTTTTATATCATGTATTTCTGTTATCAATTAACTTTTACTAAATCATAATTGCTGGGTCTCAGAAATTTAAGCAATCAGAAATTCCTAATTTCTTATTTTGCACTTGTTAATGTCTTTTTGAAGACAATGCATGTGTAAATTTGAAGGAAAGAAGAAAAAAAACATAATTCATAATTCAATCAGTTTGACAAAAAATTCAACAAGCCACGACTTATTCAAGTTTTTCATGAAGCTCCCAGAAACTACCCTATGGATATGAAAATGTTCAAATCAAACTGCTTAAAAAATTTTTCTTCTCCAAAAAATTCAGGGATTATTTTTAAAGATCCAAAAAAAAACTAAGCTTGTTTTGCAATTTTATGAATCATGTCATCAATTTGTTACTATTTTAAAGAACTTATTCAAACTTTCACAGCTTTTTTTGGAAATAATTTGTCAATTTTAGTTGTCTAGCAAAGATCATGAATACAAGTTGAAATTACCACTTCTCATCTTTGATTTAAACATAATTTGAGAGAAAATGAATTGATTCTTTAAGGTAAAAAGCATAGTATTAAAGATAACACTATCGATTAATTTCAAGAGATATCTGAAAGCGGAATATGACTCAGTTGCACTAGAAATTTTCAACTGTCGCAGTTGCAGTTGTTGATATCGTATTTTAGGAAAAGTTGGCAGGAATAGAATAATATAAAGGACAGGAAAACAACCCCCTTTTCAATTGTGTGTGCATATTCGTAATGTCGGCTTCCAGTTCTTTCCTTCTTTTTTTTCCTTATTCCGAAACAAGCGAAATATGAATTAAGCAGTATGTCGCTATTGCGAATCATTATTCCGCCATTTATGATATGGTTTGATGTACCTGACTATACGCAAATTTTTTAAGCCCAAATTTCTGTTTTACTTAAACGAGAAACTCTAACATTGAAAATTTGTTTCAGCTAAAATTTTAGAATTTCCTAACGAAAACTAATGTTGTTAAGTAAATTTGCATGTATAAATTTAAGTAAATCTGCGTATCATTCTTTACAATTATTATTTGTGTCTCGCTATGATAATGATTAGTGGAAATTTTGTCTTCTTAATTAATCAATAATTAATGATCCACGTGATCCGCATAATTTACACTAAAAGCATTCTATGCAGCATTTCCATTCATTTCAGCCATTTGAAGAGATTTCGACCGATTTCACATTGCAAGCTTTCCATTGGATTCAGAATCTTGAACTTGAAACGTTTCATTCGTAATGGATATATCAATAAGTCAAGGTGGAGCTACATCGACAGCCGCCAGTGATACGACCGATTTTTGTGTTGTATGCGGCGATAAAGCAATTGGGAAGCATTATGGTGCTGTGGCTTGTAACGGATGCAAAGGATTCTTCCGTAGAAGGTATTCCGTTTTCAATAATCTGCACAACCAAACTGACTCAATCACAATGTGCATTCTTTATAACCGGTATTCAAAACACACGTCACTGCCACTTCCCATGAGTTCTTTTGTTTCTTCCTATGTTCCACGATGACATTTGTTTTCGAAGTGTTCAACTTAAGTTTGACATTTATTCATTTCATTCATTTATTAAGAGCCATTCGCAATAAGAACCACATGAACGACATGTACGCTCTTTCTCGATATTTGCGTCAACTGAATAATTCAGTTCGCAAAATATTGCAAACCTTCTGAAATAAAGTTTTAATTTCCCAACGATCAAACAAAGTTTTGATGAAATGAAGTTTTAATTTAAAGTTTAAATAATGTTTTAATTTTCCAAGGATAGTAACAGCCCACTGGCTTATTAGAAAAATTCATGCTTCTCCAAGTTCCGGAACTGGTGGAATACAGAAATCAATAAATGTCTAACTGCTAGTAGAAGCGGTATGCTAAATGCAATAAACATGATAGAAGCTTGTGAAATTCTAACTGTTGAAGGTTTATTTCAAGTTTCAGAAAATTATGCCCTAAATATAGACTAACTGGTCCTCATCAAGATTTCCTTTTTCATTTCTTTAAAGTCTTGGGAATTAAAACTTAGCTATCACATTTTAAATGGGAACTATCCTTCATGCGATGGTCAATTGGTCATTTTGCTCATGTGCTACTATTGTAACCTGTCATATATTTCAAATTCCATTTGCACACCTCATGTAAACTGCCATTTTTAGCGTTTGGCAAAATCTGCAGTATACATGTCGATTCAGCAAGCAATGTAACATCGATAAGGATCATCGAAATGCATGCCGATATTGCCGTTTTCAAAAATGTCTAGCAGACGGAATGAAACCGGAAGGTAAAAGTATACATTTTCGCATGATATTTTCCATTTTTAGTTGAAAAAATTTTTGAACTTATTTCTGTGCAATATATATCTTTAAAAGTCTGTCTCGTTCATTTTTGTCCATATCATTATCTATTATCATAAGTTAAAATCAAATCTTAAAGGTCTTACAGTATATTTTAACTGACGTCCCAATGATCAAAATACATCAATGCTTTATCAGAAACTTTTCAAAGCACTTTTTGTCATCATTTCCGTAATATATTATTCGATTGAAATCGTTCATTCAATGAATGAAAAAGAAATATTTGTCATTCACTGTATTGTTTATTTCATTGTAATTTACCTAAAATAGACGTTTTGCAATGTTAAAAATAGTTCTCTTTTTATGTCTTTTCTGAAATCATTTCAATATATTTAAATCAAAATATTTCATAGTAATTGTATTTTCAAAAATTTTTGCCATCTATTTCAAAACAAACTGAACTTTGACCCAATCGATAATACATTGTAATAAAAGGTTATATATATACTGCAATATTACTACATTTGTAATAAAAGGAACAGTACTGCTAGCGTGTGACAGAAAAGATTTAAGAAACTGTACGTGGTGAAAATACACTAATGGTATGATTTATTCTAGCAATCCAGAATGAACGGGATCGTATTGGTAGCACAAAACGAAGTCGTAAAAGAAGCCTTCCAGCTCATCTACAACCAACATCAACCAGTGGAGATGGTAACAGTGATTCCGGTAAGTATTTCACTTCTTGGAAACACGGAGAAACTCACGTAACTCCCTTTATTTCGTCACTTATTCACTCGCGATACTATTCATGAATATTTGAAAATTATCACTCAGATTATCATTATTAACTTGCAGATGATGCGCCATCCTCAACGCGTATTGAGCGACGCTACAGCGACGATGAAGCAACGACAGCAGCATCACGTCGTCTTGTAGAAATGATTGTGGATATTGAAAGTAGACTTCAAGGAAATCAGAATATCAATAATATTCTTGGTGGCGAGGGTCAAGAGAATAATAATTCCCGGCAAAGAAGTGTATCGCTAATGATCGGTTGGGCCAATCTTCTACATCCGATTCCCGAATTGCCATTCGCTGATAAGGTTATTTATTTTCTTTTGCAAAAGCTCTTTCTACCATCCAACATTGATATTTTTCTGCTAGTTATTATTTTCAAGTTTTCAGGTATTACTACTGAAACATTGCTCACCAGCATTCTCACTCCTACATACCGTTCAGCGTTCGCTTCCATCTACTCATATCGTACTTCCTAATGATACAGTCCTAACCCTTACACCCTTTCATTATCCTGATCTCGTTGCTGCTGTAAGTCGGATCTTGGATGAACTTTTGACTCCTCTTCGTCGTATAAATGTTGAGAAGGCAGAAGTTTCGGCACTAAAAGCTTTGGTATTGTTGCATCCAGATGTGGCAGGCTTAACTATTATGTCACGTGAGAAGTTACGCGAGGCACGTGACGGCGTACTGCGTGCCTTGTTCACCTACCTTAAGCAGACTTTATCAACTGGCGATACTTCGGTACGACTCAGCAATTTACTCCTCATTATCCCCTCCTTATATTCTGTCGCACAAACACTTGCACAGAACAATCAACTTGGTATCATTTTCGGACTGACCGACCAAAGTCCTCCGTCAAATAAACACGTCACTGGCATGAGCGATTGTATTGATGAGCATCGTGATGTAAAGAAAGATCTGAACAATTTATCAAAAGAGGGTAGCAATGTTTTGTTCACCAAAACACCAACTTTGCTTACCAATTTAATAACGAGCCAAGCCATTTCCACTCATAACTTGCAGACCACAGCAACGCTAACAAATCCAGTTACTCTACCGGTAAGTTCATTTTATTTAACTGATTTTGAAAACTGATTCAAGATAGCCGAATTTCATGCTATCTGTTTCTTCGATGAATGACGGATCTCGATATCCAATTGATTTAAGCAAAGTTACAATTTCATTCGGCGACATTGATTGAATTAGAAAATTTTAATTTTCACTAATAAGCTATTTCCACCTCTGTCGTCAACATTGCAAAATTGAGCATTTCCATCACAACATTTTGGACTCTAGCTCTAAAGGATTTTTTTTTTTTAAACTAAACAGTCTTTTCCTTGAAGAATCTTTCCGTCAAAAGAAAAAATAGAAATTTACTAAGTTTTTCCACTTAATACTTCTCCATCTATCTATTTACCTGTCCCTTTGCCTATTCATCAGCCTATCTATCTACCTGTATATGAGAAATTATAGTGAAATTTTTGGACTGTTGTATTCAAGCAAGGAAAATAACTACAGGAAATGATAGCTAACATCACAAGTTTGCCAACTTTCATTTGCACTTTTCGTGGCACTTGAAATTGGTTTCATCCAACTTTCCACTACTGCAACAGTCAACGCATAGAAATTGTCTTAGAATGGCGTTGCTGATATAATTGTTAGTTTTTTCATTCGCAGTACTGATTATTGCGCTTTTGTCATCTCCATCTTCCAGTCATTTTAATGTAATATTTAAGAGGTATGTATTATCGTTCTCATGCCCAGCTCCATGTTACTAATTTTTACGAATCATGCCATTCTGAACTCTATTAATTAATTATCACAGTCAACTTCTTTCTGTCACGAGAGAAAATGAACTTTGACTGATTGTTGAATATTCCGATTTTAGCTGCGATACTAAATTGCAGTATGAGAAGAATTCAGTTTGATTAATTCTGATCTTTATGCATACCCTTCCAACAACTTAAGTACAGTACCTTCATCGGAAATGAACTTTTTGAAAAGTTTGGAAAGTACTACGAGATTATCTAAAACCAATGCAATTCCTCCTTCTTAACAGTGTTCCAAATTTATATGTAATCTAGGAAGCCAGAAATTCTGATTGTAAAATTCAAGAAATCCTTGCACTCTGAATAGTGCAGTTCATAGTGACGAAATAATGTTTGTTTGTAAAAAATTGTTTTGCAACTTGCAACATAGAAGCTTCATCGTTCATGACATTTCCACAAGACAACCTTTGGTAAGGGAGATAGTGCCTTTCCGTAAAATATCCTCAAAATCATGTAAATTTTATTCAACGGATAAATAGCGTCAGTTGTCCTTCTAGTATTACAACATAAGATTATCAATTATGTGATTAACTGTTTGACCAAACCAAAATGGAATGTATTATTCGTAGCACTTTATGTGTATTTATTACATGAACCATCTGACATCACAAACTATTGTACAACAAGAAATACTGAGGAAACAGAATGGACCGATATAACAAATGAGGGGAAATCAGTAGTGTCGTAATTGATGGTTAGAGATAAAAATAATCACTACTGCTATTAACAAGACCTATTTCTTTTTAATTGATTTATATTCATGTTCAAAACTCTATTTAAAAAAATCGAAATTCCAAAGCTTAAAAACGTATTGAAATTCAAAAACTCAACAAAAAACACATTCGAGCTGAAATTCAAGTTTAAATTTCGTTCCATAAAGTTATGAGCAGACTTAGTGATCCTCTCTAGTTTGTGGTAGGAGTTAAGTTTAAAAATTGCACTTCATTAATTTCAAAGCAACAGTTAGAATTTAAAATAAAGGATATATTACAAATGCAAGCAATATTTAGAAGTATATTACTATGATACAGAGATACTCATAATACATTTCAGGATTTAGTTACAGTTTTTTTCAGCTACTGACATCATCAACGTTACCGTTGCAAATGAAAATGTTCATGACCTAAAAGCAGCTGAAGTATTTCAAGAAGACATATCATTCTAACAAGTTCTCATCAGTTTTCGAGTATTTATTCATTTCATTTATTCATTAATTTTACATCTACTGTTGTAATCCTTTCTACGCGTTCTAGAGTAAGCAGTCCATTTAAATTGGTGTAATTTTCATGTTAAATATTATGGTCAAATTTCAAACTGTGTACAAATTTAACTTCGTAGACATAGCAAGCAAGCAGCATTTATCACAATGTATGTAACCCTACCTTCGACATTTTCTTGTGTATGAATTTTTATGCCAATTGGCAGTTGTAATTCGTTCCCTCAATTTTATTAATAACGTATTGAGAAAAATAATAAACACGATCTTCGCAACTCTCCTCTTAAATAATTTGGATGACAGAGTTACTTTGTTCTCTTCATAATTCACCTCCTCAATCGACAAACGAACTTATTACCAAATAAAATTTAAGAAATTTCAAACCACTTCATTGACTACTTCCCATCTCTGATCATTATAATGCCATTTGTTGTTCATTCTATTCACATTTTGTTGAAAAGAGTATCCTCTCATTGCTTTAATATTTATGAAAGCAAGTTATAATGCTCTTCCATTATAATAACTTCTTCATCCTTCTAGAATCAAACTCTCCTATCCGCAAAAAAAAAGAACGGCGCAGAAAATGAAAGCTTTTACAGTATGAAATTCACATGATCCCACGTCAAACAACAAGCAAGGGTTTGTAGACTCAACGCATTATGCCACATCTGTAATGTATGAATTTACGTAAGCACCTACCTTGTTCTTTCATATCTTTTCCCTCCTCCAACAATACCACTTCGTATTTTCCTATCCACTTTCTTTTTCGAATTCTCGGCGCTATCTTATACCATGATATACAGTTGTTGCGTGCAGGAAATTTAACCGATAAATTGTATTCCATTTTCGGAATATGTCACCAATATATTCTTGAAAAATTATATTAACAAATGAGATAGTTCATTTTTTATCGATTCTGTTATCCAAAATTACTGACATCATTACGTAGCAGGTGAAAAGATCGCTCATTAACATGGAAATTGCAACTCGATATCCTGTCCACATCAAGTGATCAAGTAAAAGGACGTCTGTCATATCCCTACATTAAGTAAGTATCTTGCAAATCCAGTGCCAGTGTTTTTTTTTTTTGTTTCCAGTCATGTGCTTCCAAAACATTACTGACAACCAATGACCAAGGGTAAGTTAAACAAAAAATGAGGCAAAGGGAAGTCTATGTACTTTTTTTAGAAATTTAAGTGCCGTGAGAACAAATCCATCAATCAGTAGCCGATGCTACATCATTTATGTGTTGA